TGTTACCCCAAACACCACTGTGGGTCGAGTCAAACCCTCCTGCCACCAGAGCTGGCACCACTGTGGCTCCAGGGCACCTCTGACTCACCCAGCCTGGCCTGCCCAGGCCTCTAAAGCCCATGGACCACCTCTGGGATTGGCTGGGGATGAGAGGATGTTCTCTTGGGAGCATGTCCCCATCCGTATGTCCCAAAAAATTGAGAGATTTGAGACACCAGTATCAAATTACCACATCCAGCTGGATCTGGTGACCTAGTCTGGCACAGATGCTGTGCACTGCTGCAGGAGCAAGACCTGCAGCTGATGCTTTAGCAACAACCCTTTCATGGGAAAGCAACCCTTTATCTTCATGTTTGTTTGCTCTCCCAGCTCCAGAACAAGGGGACAAAGGTCCCAGTGTGCTAACCTGCCTCTCTCTGCTCTGGCACAGATGATGGTGATGTGGTGGCCAAGGCGCTGGTGTGCCAGAAAGCAGAGCACACGTTTGCGGGCATGCCCTGTGGGATCATGGACCAGTTCGTATCTGTAATGGGCAAGGAAGGCCACGCGCTGCTCATTGACTGCAGGTCAGGGCCGAGCACCGAGCTCAATGTGCTGTGCTCACCTCCTCGGGCACATGGACACAGGCTGGTCCCATGGACATGAAATAAATGGAGGCATTCAGGGAGGGGATAACCCCTGCACACAGTCCATAATCTCATTGGAGGGCTGGGACCCCTGCATCTTAATTCCTGTGTTTTGAATTCTTCTCCTGCATACTTTCTGCTACTTGCCTGGGTTGTCTTTCCCACAGAGTCATTTGGGTCTATTATGGGACTAAGAATTGTGAAGGAGTGAAATGCTTGAGCAAAATCTTAAACCAGTTGGACTTGATATCTGTGGAGGCAGGAGTTGGCATCACCTGGATCCCCTGAGAACTGGAGTGGGCCTGAGGGGATGGGCACACAGCCTGCACTGAGCTCTTGCTGCAGGTCCCTGGAGACTGTCCCCGTCCCGCTGACTGATGCCAGCCTGGCCGTGCTCATCACCAACTCCAATGTGCGGCACACGCTGACGGGCAGTGAGTATCCCCTGCGCCGGCAGCAGTGCGAGGAGGCAGCAGCAGCGCTTGGCAAGACCAGCCTGCGAGATGCCACCATGGCTGACCTGGAAGGTAGGGACAGTCCCGCCCTTGGCTCCGGCTGCTCCTCAGGGCAGCAGGAGCTCTGTCCCCATGGCAAAGGCCAAGACTCTGGGGCAGCACCTGGGTCAGGTGGGTGGGTGGGTGCACACGTGCCGCAGGTAAAGCTTTGGCACAGAATGGTTGCAGGATGCAGCCATGCAAACCCCCAGCAGCATCCCACAGACCCAGGTGGCTTTGCTGCAGCAACATGTGTATCTCTGCAGCGGCCAGGAGCTGTCTGGGTGAGGAGGTGTACCGGCGGGCCAGGCATGTCATCAGTGAGATAGCACGGACGGCACAAGCAGCACAAGCACTGCAGGACAGGGACTATGGGATGTTCGGGAGACTGATGGTGGAGAGTCACAACTCCCTTAGGTGAGGATGCACCAACCCTGGGGAAGGGCAGACTGTGTCAGGGGCACCGGTTTCAAGTTCCCTTGCCTGTTGGTGCAGCACTGGGGGCAGCCAGAGCTGTGTCCTGCCCAGCATCTCTCATGGCTTAGCATGTGGGAGGTTTTAAGAAAAGCCCCATAAGCTTGTGCACTGAGGGGTGCTAGGACACTGTAGATGCATGTTACAGATGTGTGTAACAGATGTGTGTTACAGATGTGTGCTGCTTATAGCAGCACGCAGCAGGTCATGAATGCTCGCAGCCTTGCTCATCTATACATGTACTTATAGGCAGACAGCTGGACTGGGATCGGCAGCAGCCTGCATGGCTGCAGTTTGCTACAGCAGTGGATGCACCAGGAATAGCTTGAGGCATCCAAGCTGCATGCTGAAACTGCATGTTTCAGCTGTTCATGATGCAGGGGCTACAGTTGGGATGCAGGATAGGGCTGATCAGTGTCTCCTCTCCCCAGGGATGACTACGAAGTGAGCTGCCTGGAACTGGATGAGCTGGTAGCAGCAGCCCTAGAGGTCGATGGGGTTTATGGCAGCAGGATGACTGGGGGAGGCTTTGGAGGCTGCACGGTGACGCTGCTGGAGGCTGGGGCTGCAGATAGAGCCCAGCGCCATATCCAGGTAAGCAGCAGAAAAGTGCCAGGAGATTGACTTAAAGATCGCAAAGGAACACTCAGGGCCATGGCCTTGGGAACGCCATTGAAGCTGCGCTCCTGAAGGCCTGGGGGTTGGTGTAGCCCATCGAAAGCTGTGAGGTAGCCCCAAGGCTGTTGATGCTACTAAGCTCTTGAAGGCAGCCCAGCACGGTGCTCGTCCACTGCCCAAGGACCTTACTGCATTGAGAAAGCGGGCAAATATGTGCCAGGTGAGCTTCAGGAAGGCTAACTCTATCTAGGGAAAAAATAATCTCAGCCAAGTTTACGCAGTGTTGAGCTGAACACTGGCACTTATAGTCTGGGAAAAATCTCTGTGCGATCATCAGTGTTCTCTAAATCAGCAGCTCAGCATGCACCAGTAGCTGAAACACCAGCAAAATGGGGCTGTTAGGAAAAGGGGTCTGTGAAAGTGGCAGAGCCTTATTTTGCTGCTCCATGAGATCGTGGTGTGCCCTGTAAATAGTGAGGGGGAATAAAGCAGGGACAGAGGAAAGTGTCTGAAATGAGAAGAGATTGAAAGGGTTGTGCCTCTGTCATTGTGCTGTCCCCAAAAAGCATCTCATGTGTCTGCTGTTGGAGTGTGACTGCACCAGGCTTGGGGCTTGGCTGATTGGACAGGCCTCCCCACACTGCCATCCCCGAGCCCAGCCTCTTGCTGCAGCATGGTGTTGCCCCAAAGCACCAGCACTCACTCCCCTCTTGTCTCCTAGGAGAGCTACAGTGGCACAGCCACCTTCTACCTCACCAAACCCTCTGGAGGAGCAAAGATGCTGCCTCTGTAGAGGAGCGACCACTTCACCTGGGCTGGCATCGCTGCGGCTGCTTTCCTGGCTTGCGAGGGAATCCATTTGTCTCTCTGTGTCATTTGCCTAATAAATGCAAAACATTTGCACAGTTGTTCTGCACCCACTGGGTTGAGCCAAGCTCTGATGCCAAAGTCACTGGGCAGCCTTTCTTCAGAGGAGACCAGGTGAACTCCAGTACCATGGCATCAGGGTCCAGTGTTGCCTCTGGAGCAGCAGCAGGCACTGCCTCTGCTTGGGTATCTACTTCTGGCTCATGTCCTTAATATTTGTGACATGTCCGGGGGGGGATTATTTTTTATGTTTTAAGAAAGGGAAGAGGCAGACTGTAGAGAACACATTTATCGAGTGCCATCTGATACAGACCTTCTGTCAGGTTGGGCTGCTGGATCCGCCTTGGAAAGGCTGAAAACCCATCAGCCCTAACACCCAGATGAAAATTAAAAGGTGAGGCTGGCGTAGTGTGATGCAGTAGGTTCATGTGCAGCCTCCTTGTACAGGGGATAGATACCCTGGATAGCAGCACCCGACAGGCTCTACTCTTAGATAACAGAAAAGTCTTTAGTGAAAATGCTTGAAAATGGAGCCCCCTTTTGAGGCTGTTTTCATTGTTTTACCCCAGACCCCAAAGCACAGGGAAAGCATCACGGAGTCCTTGTGCCGGAGGAGGCACATCAACTGGAGAGGAAATCCCAACCAAAGGTGAGACAAGAACCGGGGAGGCAGGGGCAGGCTCACACACTGGAACCTGCTCAGGAAGAGTAAGTGCTTCTTGAAGGCACAGTGGAAAAAAAACCAAACCACAGGACTGGTGAAGTATTTCTTGACCTAAGTCTAAAACAGACCCGGCCCCACCTTCAGCCCTGGAGACTCCAGTGAGCTTTATTTACCCACATGCAGCTTTGGCTCAAACATGTTCTAGCCCTTGCACTCAGATGAGCAGCCCCGAGAGGAGAGGGAGCTCTTGGTTGTGTCAGTGCTGCAAAAGTCTTTTGAGTCCAAAACACACCACACACACACACACACACACACACACAAAACAAAAACCCCAAAGAACCCCACACCCCCTCAAAAAAAAACACACAATCCCTAAAACCCAAAACCAGCAACAACAACAAAAAAAAAACATCAAAAGCAAAAATGGGCAGGTCCAGCATCAGATGGAGTTAGGCAGGTTTAGGAAGATGTAGGCAGATGCTGCTGCCAGGGAGACCGGCAGCTGCTTGCTGTTCTAATGGTGAGCTCTAATGCAGAACAGTGGCAGCTGCTGCTCCAGGCAGGATCCATGCCTTCAGCAGGCTCCTCGCCCACTGCGGGGCAGCAGCAGCACGCCAGGAGCTGCACTGCTGCCCGTTGTTCCCATTGGCAGAGGGCAGCAAGAGGCCACGCAGTGCACCCAGAGCCAGGGAATGAGGCCCAGCAAGGGCCCTGCACCCAGCACTGTGTGAGAACAGCTAAAGCCAAGGGCTGAAGGAAGCTTAGACTTACTCAGGCTGGTGAAAGCGCCTGCTGCTCCCAGGCTTGCTCTTCCCGTGTGTTCACTGATGGCTCACAGGTCCCTTTATGGACACTGATGTTGGGCAAAAGGGCTTTTGAAAGATGCTAAACATCTGCCTAAAAATCTCAATTTCTTGCAGTGCATCAGCCATGCAAGAAATTCCAGGCACCATTCCCATCTCCAAGCACAGGTGCTGGGGCCATGCCTGTCCCTTGCCTCCAGGCAACTCCCAGCCCTCCTGTGCATGATGCTGCTCCTGGAAAGTGCTCAGCTGCAGCCTTCTGCTGGAGTTCCCAGTGCTGGAGGATATAAAGCCCAAGGCAGAGCTAGCCAGCTCATCAACAGGCTTCCCACAGAGTTTAGTGGCCTTTGGATCAAGCCCTTAATTAATAACTTAGTTATTCATGTTTCTCAGCAATCACAGTCCCATGTGTAGAGTCCACACTGAGCATAGATCTCACCACCTCCAGTTTTTTATAAAATAATAAAATACATTTCTATATATTTATATATATACTGAGAAAACTGTACAATAATGTACGCAAAAAAAAAAAAGCTTCAGAGGCTGTCATGAGTAATGCTGTACAAAAGAAAGGCTGTACTTCGCTATCATGGTACCAAATGTTAGCAGTGAAGGATAGACACAAATAGGTGCAGGAAGAAGCATTAGGTTACCCCAAACCTATGCAGCTTTCATAGAAAAAGCCCAAACAGAACAAAATAACCCTCTCCAGTGGACACGCAAGTTGCTAGAGAGCCTGTAGCATGCACAGATGGAAATGGTTACACTCTATAAATCAGGATGTTGTCAGCTGGGATCTTCTCAAAACTGATGATCTGAGAATAAATCATCCTGTTCCATTTATCTGGGAAGGCTGGAGCCGTCGAGACACCTAAATTTCGGCAGGTGTATTTGGATGGATGGGCATTGAAAAATGGTATTGGAGTGAGTGGTGATTATTCCTGGAAGACGCTGCTGTGGACTCTGCAGAACTGCGTCTCTGCAGAGTAGGAGAGGATGGCCAAGTCCTGAAGGATGAGCAGAAGCCTGATGACCCAACGGTGCCAGAGCTTTGAGTGTGCTGGGCTCCAAAGCAGAGGTCCAGAGCTTGAAGTGCCATGGAAGGTCTCTGCCCACAGGAGGAGCTTCCCAGGCACCACAGCAGCATCTTGGACTATTCCACAAAGTCCTGCCATCTGAACATGGATGTCCTGCTGGCAGACAGCCTGCCCTGACTCACGCCTCATAAAACTGCCTTTCCATCTGTTTGGTGAGGGTCCCACTGGACATCATGGTCCGGCTCACAAACTCTTTGGTGACCTGTTTGGTGAGGGTGCTGCTGGCACTCTCTACTCTCTGGGTTGTCAGGAGCATGCTGTCTGCAATGAGAAACTTGGTGGTCAGGACACCGTGCTAAGTACGAGGTCACAGGGAATAGGATCTGCTCTACCTAATGATTTCTGTCAGAGATTTCTCCTTAAATATCACTTTAATTGATGGAAAACCTCTCCAAATCAAGTGACTCAGTACTCAGCTATGTCAGTCAGTTAAGATGGATCTCCTAATAGCTCCTAAACTCTCCATGTTGCAGTGTGAATCCATGAGTCGCTGAACTACATTGATAAAACAACTACATTGATAAAATTGAAGATGGTCATCACACTTCTTTTTTTCTGCTCTGAGAGATCTAATCTTGCACGAAGAGCTAAGATTTGATCCCTAGTGATAGTCCTGGGGGACTCTGAAAACCCAGGGTTCCTTCTGTGACTGGGTAGCACATGAGGAAATGACTGCAACTGCCTCTGGGGCAGAGCAGGGACATGGTGCAGGAAAGGGTCTGGTCCTCTTCATTAATCCTGCTGATGGACCCTCCCTCCCTGCCTTTGACACTTGAAGTAAAAGCATCCTTAGACCTTTGGACAAGCAGAGTTTTCCTTTGCTTTCCAAGGGTTTCAAAGAAGACAGTGAGCCCTTACCTGTGAAGTGGGGATCCAGAGAGGAGTGGCTGATGCTGGTATTGGTGGTGTATTCTGCTGGGAAGTTGTACACTTCCTCTCTCATGTACTGCTGTCCTCCAAACTGGGAGAAGGTACCTTGGGAGAAGAATAAGGGATGAATCATTCAGGAAATGACAAGGAGCATCCAACCCCTCAAACCTGCACAGCAAGCACAGCTCAGGAGATTTCTCTTGCTGACATCAGAGCCAGGTTTAGAAAGAACTAGAAGGACTAGGAAGGTCTTACACTTGCCCAGTGCAAGAAGCTGCCTCCAGGTATGTGTACAACAAAGAAATTTCATAATAAATTAAACATTTTCTTGCATGAAGACAGTGCTGTGCCTTGTGAGCACTGTCCCAGTCCTGATGCACTGAATGTGGAAAGATCATGAGAACCTGACAATGTCTCTATGTCTTTCATGAAAAACAGAGTCACCACCAGAGCTGGAAAGGGACTCCAGGAATTGTGTTTGCTGCTTTGAGAGGTTTCTTAACTTTGCACCTCAATGAAGACATGGTACTACTGTACCTCCATCCTGGGATTCAATGGTGATGATGCCTTCTCTCTCTGGCCCAAAGCCTTGGGTGGTCTTGGCTTGCACTTTGAACTTGTATGGGACATTCTCATTCAGGTGGGGCACGGTCAGGGTAGTTTCAGGGTTGTCTCCTTCGACGTAGATATTCCTGGGCTCCCCTAATCCACACAGACATACCAGCGGTGAAGACAAACAGGTCTGTTCTAGTCGCTCCAAATACAATCCCCCTGACTCTGGCTGCTGTCTTGGCTTTCCCTAAGCTTTATGCTGCTCTCAGACTGTATGATCACACCCAGTTCTACTAAGGGTTAAGGCAACCCTATTTTAGTACAGTGGTGATTCACAACAAAAAGCCTCCACTGGGTTTGGACTATAACAAGCTACAGGTCCTTCCTCCTCCCACTACATTTTTTTACCCCAGACCATGCCATGACACAAATCATCATGGTCCAGCAGCTCCCAGGCCTGGAATCAGGCTCATGCCCCCACTTTGTCTGCAAGCAGACAAGTTTGTTGCTGGTCACAGCAAAAATGCAGCAAGTTGTTGCATTTGCTGGAGGCATCTTGTGCTCTATGCAGGGAACTTGGGTTTCACAGCCTGGTACCATACCTCCTCCATGCAGCATCTCACAGGTAACCATGTAACCCAAGATGGACCCATTGGGCTTGCGGGGTCTCTCCCAGCTGAGCTGCAGGGAGTCAGGGCTGAGGGCAGTGAACACAAGTGGCCCAGGAGCACTGGGTGTGCTCAGCGTGAAGGGTGAACCTGCAGGAGCACGAGTAAGAGGTCAGTATCAGAGAAGGTGGTGAGGAGGAGTCAGGGACGGATTTGCACACAGCATTATGAAATGAGCTGCAAGGCCTCAGCGACTGTCCTGGTTTCAGCTAGAACAGTTATTTTTCTTCCCAGTAGCTACTGCAGTGCTGCATGCTCACTGTATAAACTGGGGGGAGCTACCCAGAAGGGACTGATTGCTGCTTGGGTAAGGCTGGGTATCAGTTGGCAGGTGCTGAGAAATCATACTGTGCATCACTGCTGGTTAGTGGTTTTTTTTCTTTTCCCCTTTTTGTTTTATATTATCTCCCTTGTTATTTCCCTTATCATTAATATTAGTAGTTTCATATTATGCTTTAGATATTGGACTGTTATCTCCACCCATGGGTTTTACATTCTTCTGATTCCCCTCCCCATCCTGCCTGGAGGGGTGAGTGAGATGCTGCCTGGTGCTGAGTTGTCGGCTGGATTCAAACCATGACAGCTACCTAGACAGCTGTGGAAGGTGGGTTCATAGGGAAGAAGGCCCTATTCCTAAATGAAAGGAAGGAAAGGAGAACTCAGGATGTGGTAAGTGGAAAGAAAACAGCAAGGCCAGGACTGCAGACAGCAGCAGAGACATCAGTGCCACCCTTCTCCTGCCCTCCACCCACCTCACCTGGTACAGGGCTGAGCGGGCTCTGTGGGTCCACCTGGGACTCTATGGTGATGACTCCTTCCCTCTCCGGGCCCCAGCCTTCCTCACTCTGCGCCTTCACCTTAAAGATGTAGGAGTGGTTGGGCAGCAGGTCCTCTACCACCACTGAGTTCTGGCTGGGGTTGCGGATGGTGAGTCGGTGGACCTCTCCTGGGACACACAAAGTGGGATGTCAGCATCATGTTGCAGATACAAAGACAGAGCCATGGCTTTTGCTTAAACTCTGTCTCAAATGAACCACCTGGAAAAGTCATCCCTGGCCACCTCCATCACACCTCCCCACCAACAGCCTGTAGAGCAGGACAAGATGCTGTTTCAAAAAAGGCTTGGGACAAACAGCAGCTTCTTGAAAACATAATGATTTTCAGCCAAAGAAAATTACATTTTCACTAACTGCCCCAAATTTCACGCAAAACCAAGATATTTTCATGCAAATTCTTCCTCCAAGTCCAATGTGCTGGAAAAAACCTGTGACTGAAATGTGTGGGCTGGTGGAGGATGATTCCAAGTGTTTTTGGAGGAGAGATTACTCCACAAGCAACCCCAGGAATTGTCCCCCCAGCAGAAACAGAGAATGAGAGCTGTGAGGTAGCTGAGACGCTTCCTCAAGGCTGCAGAAAAAGCAAAGTTGGGGGCCAGTCCATGAATCCCGGAATGGTTGGGGCTGCAAAGGACCCCTGGAGGTCATTTGGTCCAACCCCTCTGCTCAAGCAGAACCACCCAGAGCCCATTGCCCAGGAGAAGACCCAGACCAGATTCTCCAGAAGTTCCCACCACCAAGTGCCTGGTGGACAGTGGCACCTGCTCACTGACCTCCATTGAGGAGCTGGTAGTGCACGCTGTAGCCCTTCACCTCCTTCTCGCAGTGCGGCTCCTGCCAGCTCACCTTCAGGGAGGTGGGTCCCAGGGCAGAGAACACCAGGCGTGTAGGGGTGTCGGGAACCCCTAGCCGCGGCCTGGAGTCTGAAGGAAAAAAGGCAACATCAGGGTGGAGATCTGGGGGAGCGGAGGGAATGGCACGCGCAAGCATGGGATGGTCCTAACGGTCCATGGAGAACGTGGTGAGATGTTATCTCTGCAAGCTGACCCACCACAACCCAGGACTGGCTGGCTCTGCACACCTACAGTGAATCCCCATGGCCTTGGGGTGCCAGCCTTGAGTGGCACAAGTTAAGGTAAGCTTTGTGCCCTTGCGGTAGAGAAACCAGAGCAGGGGTCCAGGTGCTGCATGTGGCCCTCCTCACTCACCCTGAAGCACCCCTGTCCACTCTGCCATAAGCTTCACAGATATCTTCACATATCGCTCAGTTAGCACTGGCCCTAGTCTATAGCTGAAGCAGTTCAACACCTCCAGGGACTGATCAAGGGTATGGGGCAGCTGGGACCAGGGCTCATGTTAGCACAGCAGCCTCCCAGGTGCCACTCAGGAACTGAAACCCCTCACTGACATGGACTTTCCCAAGCAGCTTGCAGAGGGACATCTCATATAGAGTACATGTTCTCCCCAAGACTCCTCCGAAGACCTGTGAGGTAAGACTGAGAACAAGCAGCTTGTTAGGAATGAAAAGAATGGGGACAATGAGCTGCTCGGCTCATTAGAGCATGGTGGTGGTGAGTGTTAAGCAGCCCAGGTGGGTTGAAACACAGCTGAAGTCACCTGTGAAGGGAAAGGTGGTGTGATGAAGGCTCAGGTTGGGCCAGGAAGATCACCAGTGTGGCACACAGCAAGCCATGGAGAGAGGATATGGGGCAAGCAATGGATGGCAACAGCTCACGGGCAGTCAGTGGCTTGGCTGTTATGGGATGCATGGCTGGGAAGAAACACTGGGCAAAGCTGTACCTATGTACTTGCAAATCCCTGCAGACCCATCAGTCATGATTATAGAGTCCCGACAGCCAGTGCTGGGGTAGTAACCCTTCACCTTTGCCCTGCTCCTGAAACCCACATCCTGGGGCTGCAGGATTGTCCTCCTGGCATCTTCACAGATGGGAGGGAAGAGTGTCCCTGGACAATCTACAGAAGCAGTGCAAGAGAAAGAGAGAAAAACACCATTGGAGACTTCAGAGCAGGTTCAGCCCAGGTGCTGGCTCCTGCAGAGTAGGTTTTTTTTAAGGCTTAGATTTGAAGAGTCTTATAACAACCTTCTGTCAGCACCAGCTGATGTACACCTGTGGACCCAAAAGGCATCCATGCTGCTAGACGGAGTAAGAAGACACACATGCACTTGCCAGAGTGCTCTGTGGTGTGAGGATAAGGATGTAGCTCCCTTTCCCAAGCACTCTGCACATGAGGGATGGAAACCCTTTCCAGACTAGTCTGGTAGCAGGCTGGCCTTAGCAAAGCACCTAAACATCAGTGGTGAGGACATGACCTTACAGATGTCTGGTTCATAGGCCACCTTTGCAGTGAACACAGTCGTCACACCAAAAAGACTTGTAGGGCATGGGTCCAAAGACAGTAATAGGGGTGGAAGGGAAGGACAGGTCCATCATCACAGTACTCACCATGCCCCATCAGCATTGTAGAGTAGTCTCTTGTCAGTGAGGAGCTTCCCATCACTCTGTGCTCCTGCTGCACGTGTGAACTCAGCTGATGGTAGCTGGTGTTCATTGTCCTGGTCAGTGTGCCACTGCCACTGCCAGGGAAGGAGAGGTCTACCCGGCCATTCAGCAAGTGTTCTGTGGAAGAGAGCACACTGTGAGGAACATGGCTATGGACAGGGCTGCTGCTCCAGTTTCCATGGGAAGGAAGCAGGAGGCACCATGGTGCACCCTGCCTTGGCTGCATCCCAGCTTCAGCCACTCTGGAAGGTTGTTCTGGAGCTCTACATCTAGAAAAAGCCACCTAAGCTGATGATGTGGAAGCAAACAGGTAAACGGAGACTTTGCCCTACACACGGCACCAGACAGCCCCATGGTGCCCAACGTAACTCCAGACCTTGGCCTCACTGGGGCACTGTCCTGTGGTTCTTGCCATGTTCTCTCACATCTTTCTTAGACACAAGCACAACTATATCATTTCAGATTAAAAAAAAAAAAAAAAGGTAAAAAAAGGAAAACAGCCCTTTATGGAGGCAGTTTCTCCAAATCTCACTCTGGATCCCATTTCATCTGGATCTGAAAAGCAAACTCTGCTCCATTGTTTTGGTCTTTGATGAGCTCCCAGCCCCAGCCCTTCTCAGCAGCAGGCCAGGATAGATCAGTCCAGCAGATCTGCCCTAGAAGCTCAGGGCACTTAATTTAAGGTGAGGAGCTGCCTTTGCAGGTGCCACTTAGGAGGTATCGTCTGAGTTTTCTCCTGCCTTGAAGGTCCAGCCTTTTGTAGAAGCAACTTGCTAGCAACTTGTTAGGCTCCCAAGTCCATGCCAAGACAGGGGTTACCTACCTTGACACTCTTGTGAGCAGACACACCAAGACAAGGTTTCTGAAGCAGGCTACGGTATGTGAACAGTGCATCATGCCAACATAAGGATGGGCATACAAGGGGAGGGAGGGGACACGTACTGGAGCAGACCCCGGCTCCCAGCCCCTTGGCTTAGAGCAGGACGAGACAGGACACTCAGTGCCTTAACGCAGCTGCCCTTCACCTGCTTGGGGACGGGGCGTCCCGCTCCTCCTCAGGCTGCCAGTAGCCACGTCGCTGTCCTCCTCATGGAGGAGACCCTCGGTGTCTGAGAAGCGGCTGCTGCCAGAGAGGCGGGGAATGGTTTCAGCTGGGAGCCTCCAGGTGATGCGTCGAAGATCCAAGTCTTCTCCCAGCAGCGGCACATATTTCCACCTGGAGCCTTTTGGGACAATGCAAGCACTGGTGTTGGCATGGTCTGCAGGGCACAGAGTGGGCTGCCCACCACCTCTGTGGTGCTTGCTGGAGAGGGAAGGGACAGGCACCAGTGGGAACAACAACCCTTCACAGCCTGTCTCGCCAACTGAGCTTGAGTTCAGGCAGTGCAACCATTGTGTGACTGGTAGAAGGAAGATGGTGGGAATGCAACATGCATGGTGTTCCTCAATGCCAGGGCTCTTTTCCAGCCCTGTGTCCATCACGCCAAAGGTGAGAGTCAGACTTCCACCACACGCCTGTCCCTGTTATGAGGAGTCTTGCAACAACTGTCCTCTGCTCAGGAGAGGTTCCCTCAGTCCTCGATGTGTGCTCAGTGGTCCCATTACCTTGCTCCCTGACAGGACCAGGGACTCACTGCTTGATCCCAGGCCCTGGAGAACCTCCCCAGGGAAGACCCTCCAAATTCTCCTGACAAACCTCATCATTTCACTTATGGCACATCTCCCCATTGTTGTCCCAGTACAAGTCAAGGAAGCCAGCCTTATTCAGAGAGTGAACTGATGGAGGGAGAGAGGTCAGTGCCTTCCTAGCACCTTGTTAATTCCCTCCTGTTGGCTTGGCCAAGACCCTGAGCATCTGGCAGACTCAGAGGTCTGACTTGCCAGTACTTGCTTGCTGACAGGAGCTCTTGTGATCCAGCCAAATGGCAACAGGAAGGGAAGGTGAGCAGGGAGGGCCATGAAAAGCTCTCCCACCCCACACTGAGATTTCTGTTTGCCTCATGGCTAAGAAGGGTGGTCTTATTTACACTGTGACTAGTCAAGTGTTCCTATGGATGCAGCCACTGTGCTTTGGTTGACCTCCACCATCTCTGTGACTTGGATCTCTCCATCTTCACGAGAAGGAAAGGAGCAGTGAAACTCATTGCTGAAAGCTGCTGTTAAGGAAAAGAAATGTTAAAAGTGACCTTGCAAAACCCAGAGCAACGTACCTGAATCATCAGAGACACTGGGATGCTTGCTGCCAGCTGCAGAGCGAAGCACATCTGCACTGTACATCAGGTAGCTGTCATAGTCCTCACCTCCCTCTGCATCAATGATGGGGACATCAGGAATGATGGGGACTGGAGAAGAGGTGGGAAAAATGCCATTGGACAAGCAGCTCAAAATCACACAAGCCTCCCATACTTAGGCTGGCCTTCAGCATTCAGCAGGGTGGGTGGTGGAGCTGAGCAAGCAGGACATGGAGAAGCAGCTGGGGTAATGGAAAGCACAGCCCAGCAGTGCTCCTGCTCCCACCCAGGGGGAGTAGGAACTCACTGGACATCGGGCGCTTCGGCTGTGTGGCAAGGTTGATGGTGGCTTCTCTCTCAGGTCCCCAGCCAGCACCATTCCTGGCTTTCACCATGTAGCGATAGGGCTGGGACTCCCGCAGGTTTTCTATCAGCACCATGCGCTTCTTTGGGTCTTCAACCAGCACCTTCTTCATTGGGCCAATGGGTACTGCAAATACAGTATGCCTGTCACCCATGAGGCCACAAGACACGAAGGATCCCACAGCACCCCATCCTTGGCCAACAGGCTCACTGAAGTTTGCTGCCAGGACACAGCCTGGCTCTGGAACAAGGTGCAGAAGCTGTGTGAGCTGATCACAACTGGCATGACGTCGTCTCAGGGGACTTCCTGAACTGAATGTGGAGTCAGCCTAGAGCAGAGGTATCCTTTTGCTGCTGTGTCACCAAATAGCATCTTCCTGACATCTTAGCCCTAGAGTCTAGACCTATGAACTAAGATGAAAAGCAACACCAAAACCCTATGGAAGTGAATGGGAACTAAGTGTGCTCCAGGCTTTGCAGGGTTAAATCCTGAATGGTGATTTTCCTGTGCTCCTCTCACCAAGAAGTGACCCCCTCAAGAAATATGCTTGGAGCCATCCTGATTCTGCTGCTGCTCGGGACTAGCCCTGCCTCTGGGAATTGTACTTCAGCTCCTCAACCTGGCTGAACTGCCCGGTCAGAAAATGAGCTCTTACTGTTGTCCTCGTTGACAAGTCCATAACTGACTTCATAAGCTGTGATCTCCCCATTGGTTTCTGCAGGCTCAGCCCAGCTCAGCTGTGTCACAGTGGAAGACACAACGTTGAAAGCCAAGCGGCCGGGCTCACTGGGGACTGGAAAGGCAAGAGCAAAGGGTTCAGGTTACTGTGAGTCAGAAGCCAGGGCACACAAATGCCCAGAGCTCCCCAGATCATAGCTGGGTTGCAGTGGGAGGCACTCGGTGCGTGTCCCCAAGACCATCAGAAGCTCAGGTCTGGAGCCCTGAGCCCATGCTGGAACCATCGGCACCAACTTGCCCCCACATAGTGGGAAACAAAGTGTAGATTGGCTCACCGTCCTCGAGCGTGCGGCAGTGGATGATGTCAGAGTAAGCACCTTCACCCATGGCATTGTAGGCAGAGACTTGCATCTCGTAGTCGCAGAAGGGGTAGAGGTTACTCAGCTCTACTGATGGTGCTTTGACATCGATAAGATGCGCTTCTGACTCGGGGTCCCCTTGGATCCAGTATTTAACCTGGCAAAGCAACAGCAAGTCATGATGCCTTCAGATCCCCATCATAATGAGTGAGAAATTCCCCATCTCTTATTAGATCTTCTCTGGGAAACCCAAGGGTGTTGTGCCATTCTTTTGAAGTGAGAGGCCAGAATGAGGTGGGCATTTCATAGTAAGTGATGGAAAGGGAGATGAACCCCCTAGCAATCTTTCCTGCAAATTCCACATCCACCCAATAATGGTCCCTCAGGGATGGAGGGGGCCATAAGGGATGAGCTTGTTTCCTCCTTTGGGCATCTTCTCCCCATGCTTTTGGCACAAATGGCTGTGTGTGAAACATCTGCAGGATAGGACTCACACCCTCCCCAGGAATTCACTCACTCCTCACCTTGTACCCCAGAGGTTTTCCTGGTGGGGGAAACCAGCTGAAGCTGATTTCCCTGGAGCTGAGAGCATTGGCACTGGGGTTAAGTGGTGCACTCAGGCGGCCTTTTGGGGACTGGGAGATCTGGCCTAAGCCAGCCATCGAGGGGATACCATCCACCACCTCTGCAGGCACAAGGAGGAAAGGACACATCAGTGCTAGTCCCCCCCCACAGGACAAAAAGAAGGAAGCGTGCCTCTCTTCAGCACTTGTCCTGCCACCCCAAGCAGCAATTCTCAAAGCATTTCTGAGGGGTAGATCCCCATTATAGAGAAGGGAAACTGAGGCACTTGCTGATAACATCCCACAGAGCCACACAGCAAGCTGCCTTGAGAGTCGGGCTCAGACCGCCCAGGTCGTGCACCCTCCTGCTGCTCATTACAGACTGCCTAGGCAGGAAGAAATTAAGAGACCACCTTCCTTCCTCTGACAATCTTTAGCTCTGTCTGAATGTATTTAGTGATGCTTCAGTGGGTTGAGCAGTTGCCCTGTGCAGACATAAGAGAACAAAACGATGAGCAGAGCCTTCTGAAGCTATCTAGTTGCTTCTGGAAACCCACCAAGTCCAGAAGAGAGCTCTCTGGAGCCTCTCCAGCCCCTGGTGCCTGCCCCTGAAGCAGTCCTCGTTGGTCCAATATCAAGGGACTGTCTCGTACCCCCAGTATTTATTACCAGTACTGTGATAAATACTTTTATGTTATCAACCCACTTGATGGCAATACTTTTGTATTTTCGTATATACTTTTGCTTGTCCAGCCACAGGAACCACAAGCACAGCTCATGGCCATTCCTAGCTCTCTCCTATTTCAGTAGCTTTTTTATTCAGCTCCCCGAGGAAAAGGAATGAAGAAAGCTCGTATTTCCTCTTGCGAGGTAGATTATCCCTCCTCTTTCTACCCACTGTATATACCAGCTAATGCCTCTAGAGGGAGGCTCAAATCTACCAGTCGGAGCCGGAGGAACCTCCTCATTGCCACTTTTTGGGTGAAGAGCAAGACTGAAGCTCCGTACCCCACCTCAGGGAAGGCTGCTCCGGTGTGGGGAGCCCCCATCCCCTGCTACCGTTCCCCACCGCCTGGCTGCGCACCCCTACCTGGGTCGGCGATGGTCACCGTGGTCTGGGGGTAGCGGCCGATCTTGGCGCCGTACTTGGGGTGGAGGAGGTCGATGGCGAACTGCTTGAGCTGGCAGTTGTGCAGGAGGGTGTCTATTTCCGTCAGCTCTAGCAAGGGGACCTGCACCTCCTTTCGGGTCTCCCCAGGCTGGAAGACCAAGTCACCCTCTGTGAAGATGTAGTCCTGGAGAAGGAAGAGGTGCATGACTGTAACTCACAGCATCCATGAGAGGATTCTGAGAGAGAGAGCTTCCCCTCAGTGAATCCCCACGTGCCTTCTAGTGCCCTTAGTTCGGGGGGCAGCCTCTCAGGTTGCTGAGGCACAGAGAGCAAGGGATGGAAGAGAAGGTTTGCCCTAGTGCTAACCTCAGTCTTGGGTCTCCCCTCTCACAGCCACATCCCCTTTGAGCCTGATCAACTGCTCTTTGCAGCCCTGGGGTCAGTTTCTTCCCAGCCCTCAGTGAACACGCATTCCTGCCTGCCAAGGTCAGAAGCATCACCCTTACCCTGCCATTCTTAGCAGTGAGATCTCGGGTCCTGTAGGTGACTTGGGATTTCCCATTGTCTATGATCTCCCGGAGGACAGGGATCTTGGCCAGCTTGTCAAAGCGACTGTGGGAATAGGCTGGCTGCAAGAAGGTGATGAGGCTGCTGGCTGGAAGTGACAGGAGAGAAGAAATGTGTAGAGCAAATACATGAAGAATCACATTACAAACACGCAGGTGCACACAGAGTTCCTATCACCCATGAGTGTGGACTGTGTATGAAATATTATTTCATAGGCTAGAGACTTTACTCCTGGCTTGTTTTTCCTCCTCTAAACAACCAGATGGGAAGCAGAGGGAAACTGTCCCAAGCACAGCATTAACAGCAAAAAAGTTTTACTTTATTCCAGCAACCTATGAACTGGAGCAGTAGAGACATACGGTCAACCCTAGATCTTCCCTGGAATTGTAGCATCTAAACTTGTGATGGTCAAATGTTTGAATCTCTGTCACCAGGGATGACAACCCTCCTTTGGATGCTTTAAAAGATGCTCTAGTTTAGTTCCAGGTGAGTTAAGATAGGAGTCACAAAGTAAATCTCTGGTCTGTGATCAGGGGGCTCAGATACACAGGCTGGGCCTTAGAAACCATAAGTCCATCTGGACATAGGGCACCCAAACACAAGCAGACTTCATCTCGTGCCACAGTCTCAGCACTTCACCTTGTTCTTTGATGATGGTGATGCTGACAATCCTGCGTCCAATCTCTGCGATGCCAGTAGGGACATCAATGGCCTCCACCTGCAGCTGCTTCTCATCGTCATCATCCTCCCTAATGAAGAGTGGGACACGCACATCCACCAGCTCCACAGCCTCTTGGAACTCCACCATCCCGTGAGCATCTGTGGGAAGGGCAACGGTGAGCCGTGGGAAACGCATCTCCTTGCCCGGCTAGGAGGCAGCACTGGGCTCTGCTCCCTACCTTGGTCCGAGGTCACAGTGTAATAACCTGGTGAAACCTTCAGGTCATTGAAAGCCCCATGGGAAACATGCTTTTCCGTCACTTTGATGATCTCTGTCTTGGCTGAGCGAGGGGCAGTGAGCACTGTGTCCACAATGGTGTGGTCCTGCCTGTGACCAGTAGGAAGAGAGAGCCAGGTAAGAGCTGACGCCAGGGTTGCTCATCTCATGTAGCAGCTGGAGGGGCTAGTGAGTACCACACGTGTGTGTGGATGAAGAGGGAGGAGCAGCACAGGGGAGGGCTGCAAATTTCTCTTACCTTTTCCCAGAATTGGGCTGTAACCTGGGAGGAGGGAAACAAACAAACCAACAACCAGCAGTCAGTGACTAACGCATTGTGGAGACAAAGTTGGGTGTGAATCACAGAGTCACAGCCCTGTGCAGGCCTGAGCTGCAGCAGCTGCCCTGCGGGTGCCATCCCAGCCTGCAGAGCCCATGGCCCCATCACGTTTCCTCCTGCCTGGCTGTTCCCTTCAGCCCTGGGTTTCCCAATGCGATGAGAAATGTGCCCAAAGGGAAGATCACATCTCATCAGAGCTGTGGGGAGGGAATAACACTCCCCACTCAGTGCCAGCATCCCCAGACTCCTCTGCTCTGCACCAGGCACTTGGAACTCTGTATAGTGCTGAAACTTTTGAAGTCAATGGGAATTCTCCCATTGAGAACTATGTGACCAGGATTTGTCCTTGGCTGTAGGAGTCTCAGGTCCAAAGCCAGATGCAGCTGAGACCACCTGTAGAGATGGGTGGGCTCTGCCCTGCAGCTGTGGATGCACTGCATGGGGCTCCTGCTTGTGCTGGGTGTGTCTCACAGCCCATGCTCCCACCCAGCATCCCAAATTTCACACCCAGCCCTCCAGTCCACTCCCTCATCAGCAGGGCCCTGGGGGAACTTTGCCCCAAGGAAGATCCCTCCCCCAGTGACTCACCTGAACTTGGTCTGCTGGAGCTTGTGGCAGCCATGGATGTGCTTGAAAACCTCGTTCAGCTGCAAGGAGCGAAAGGGACTTTCACAACATACCCCTTCCTGAACAGGGATGTGTTCAGCAAGCAGAAGAGCTGGGTCCCTCCCAGGTCCTTCCCTCTCACCCTGCCACACCAGGCACACCAACACATGGTTTCTCCCCAGAACATGGCAAGAAGCTGCAAACTGAAGCCAAACAGGAGCTTCAAAGCACATGTTCTGAAGCCAACTGCAATTCTCATCAGATGCTTTTGATAATTCTCACAATTGTGATCTTAAAATTTGTGCTTTCTTTCAGCAAGAAGAAATATTGCTTCTTGTTTTCAAGTGCTACCTGGGTTCACAGGGAAGGGGCACTCCTCCTTCCTCAGCACTGCAGACAGCCCGCATCATGGCTGTGCCCCAGTGCCACCCTGCATCATGGCTGTGCCCCAGTGCCACCCTGCATCATGGCTGTGCCCCAGTGCCACCCTGCATCATGGCTGTGCCCCAGTGCCACCCTGCATCATGGCTGTGCCCCAGTGCCACCCCGCATCATGGCTGTGCCCCAGTGCCACCCTGCATCATGGCTGTGCCCCAGTGCCACCCTGCATCATGGCTGTGCCCCAGTGCCACCCTGCATCATGGCTGTGCCCCAGTGCCACCCTGCATCATGGCTGTGCCCCAGTGCCACCCCGCATCATGGCTGTGCCCCAGTGCCACCCTGCATCATGGCTGTGCCCCAGTGCCACCCTGCATCATGGCTGTGCCCCAGTGCCACCCCAAGCCCCCCTCACGCCCAGCTCGTACGTTCTCCTCCACTTCCTTGTGCAGCTGCTCGCACTCCCGGGTGTCCGGCTTCACCAGGTTCTGCGTGAAAAGCCGGGTCAGCCTCAGAGACAGCCCATAGGGAACTGGAAAGAGAAATTCCCAAGTCAAATTCCTTCCTTCTTGGGTCAGCGAAATAACCCAGCCAAAAGCTGGAAGCATGAGGACACACATTGATGCTCGGTATCCAGATCTCATATTACTGGTACCCAGCAGAGAAACCCCTCCAAGAACTGGAGTGCTAACTGGGAATCTCTCTGCCAGATTCAGCAAAGGAACAGTGTCCAGTGCTGGCTCTGGACTGATGAAGCAGTGAAATCAAGGCTGGGTCATTGAGCTAATTAGGGTAAGACACATGCAGGCTACATCCACCATGCAGCCAGGCTGTCAGGAGGTCTCCAAGGCTACCACATGCTCTGCTACAAGGCTAGACACAGGAACGTGCTGCTCAGCTTCCCACAGGATGGAAGCAGATATAGGCAGAACCTCTTTGCATTTGGGTTTGGAGGTAATGCCGTGGCTGCTAAACCTGGGGTCACCACCAAGGGTTCTTGCCCTTTGTGGCACCCACAACATCTCCTCCATGCGCTATTCCTCAGCTGTGGCACTCACTGAGATCTTTGGGGCTGGCGGCAGCGAGGGAGGTGAAGTCCTGCCTATGCACATTGTTGTTGATCTTCCAGCGGACTGTGTCGCAGCCCTTGAGGGACCCGCTGCGGACCATGGGGGTGTCCAGGTGGTCAGAGGACATGAGGCTGTGGCGAAGCATGTAGTGGTCCTCCTTGAAGCCAACAGTGCGACCTGCAGAGCCAGGGGCAAGGTCAGAGCCTGGGCAGACTGGGGCAATGCCAGCCGTCAGCTCCCCAGCACCAGAGATGTTGCTCTGGGGAGTCATTAGGGCTTCCACCATGCCAAAGGTGTTGGGATGCCAGAGTGGAGTGCAGTGGAGAGGGCAAGGGGTCTCCATGAGTGTGGAGAACACCAGCTGGGTATTACAAGGGACACTGTTCAGGGGAGAGCCAGCAGCAGGATTCCCAGTAGGGCACACCAGGCTGTGGGGCAGGAAGGAGCAGTGGAGCAGCAGCTCAATGGCTCCTTGGCTCAGGCTCTCTGTCAGGAGCTTTTTCCCAGATCTACCTCTCCAACTCAGAGAAGAGGAGGAGATACTTATGCCAGCACCATCCCCAATCCAGGAAGACAGTGAACACCACAGATCCCTCTTCCCCCAGTTCAAAGGGTTGGTACCTTGTGCACAGCAGGGAAGCAGGGCTAGGCAAGCCTAGAAAACAAAGGCCAAAGAAACAATCAGTGTTTGGCCAAGAGCAAAAAACCCCACATCTTCAGCTGGGAGGATTCCCATCAGCAGGGATGGGTGGGCAGCAGATGGATGGAGCTCTGGAATCTGGTTGTAGCCAGATATCCCTTAGGTGGGGGAAAGCCCACCACAGCTTCTGTCAGCAACAGCAGAGGTGCTGGATACCACTGGGACTCAGCCCCCGTCAGTGTGGTCATGCTGGAGCCTGGGTTGGTTCTGGAAATTTGTGATGGTTTTGGCCTTTATGTGGCGCTTTCCCAAAGCTGGGACAAGTGTCTGAGGCCCTCACCTTGCAGCAGGCACAGAACTTCCAGCAGAGCAGCAGCAGCAGCCCCAGCAGCAGGATGAGGAAGATGAGCAGTGGGATGAGCCAGAGGAAGTTCCCCGGTGGGCACTCTGCAAGTGACAGCAACGTCACACCCAGGGTGTGCAAGGAGGGACTGGGGAGGCAGGGACAGAGGGGAAAGGCTGGACCACAGCTCTGCTAGGGCTGGAGCAGCCTGGTTAAGCACTCACTTAATGCTCACAGTGAAAAGTGCTGTTCAGAAAGAACCCTGGGCACCCTGTGCAGTGCCTCATCACCATCACAGAGAACTTACACCTAAGAGCTCATCTCAATCTCTCCTCTGCCAGCTATCCCACCTCTCTGCTCACATCCAGCCATCTCAAGGGGCTATTCAGCTTCTCACATCAATCCCTGCCCATGCTAGCAGTGAAAAGGCATCGATGCCTAAAGGTGCTGATCTTTGCAGATGCTGCACTCTGCTCCCTGCAGTTCACCCACCCCTGTCACGCAGGAAGGTGGGCAGGGACATACTACCTGAAGCTGAGCCTGCCCAGGGCACCGCAAAGGGGCAAAGCAGGGATCAGAGCTGCTGTGGAGCAGGTCACTGTTGAATCAGACCCCAGAGTGGACACCCCTTCTGACAGGTCCCCGCTCACCTTTTTTCTTCTGGACGTGGACAGTGGTGTTGGGGAGGACGTTGGGATCTCCCTCCAGCGTGTAGTGGTATGTGCAATCATCCTCCTCATCCTGGAATGAGCAGTATTCACTGGCCTCCTCTGTAGAGGGAGGGGAAATGGTTGCAGTGTCATCAGGACCAGGAAAAGCTTAGGGAGCTGCCCCACATGCTCACACATATGGGGCAGGGCCCACAGGAGACACACCACGTGTATCTGCACCCAGTTTGCTTTGCCTGATACCTTTCTTTAGCTCTTCCACCATCTGGAGCTGGAGGTGGCACGTGCTGCAGTTCCCTTTTGTATTGCCTGTTCCCCAGGCCTGGCAGCGAACACAGTCCCGGATGCTCTCACACACAGCCTGGAAGCCCTGGGCAGAGACCGAGGTTGGACAGTGAGGAGATAGCCCAAGGGAGGACACCATCTCCAAAAGGCAGAGCTGGAGAGGCAAAACTGCATCCTCACCCAGGGCAAGGGCAAAGAGAGGAATCACAGTGAACATGCAGTTAATGAAGGATTTAGAAGCCCAGGAGCCCAGCACAGTAGCTCCAAAATCTCTTATACCAACAGCCTGCATGGGGCAGTGATTAGATCCCCTCCAAGGGTTTTAGGTGGCCTTTCCAGAATATAACTAAGCCAGTTTTCTCCAGTCCCACTGTGGGATTAACCCATATTTGTCAAAGGGGAAACCGAGGAAACAAACCATGAAATGTGGGGTTTTTTTTATGGTCTTGGGGCAAATTGGAACAAGCCAGGAGCTGAGCTATAAACCTCTGCCCTTCACCAGTGTGCAGATAAACAGGCATTCAAGAGTTGCTGTTGGTGAACAGCAGACTGTGGGCAAAGCAAGCCCACAGCTACAAAGCAGCCTCCGTAGTAGACCCTTCCTGGCCACCGAAGGCAGGACAGGAAAGACTAACCCCTCCTCAGGGTTTTATTCCTGACCAAGATGAGCCTTCATGTCTGCTTTGCCTTCCTTCCCTAGAGCATTGCACAGGAGAAGTGATAAACACAGAGGGATCCCAGGCTGAGCCTCACCAGGGAGTAGCTGATTTCGCAGGTGGAGCTGGTGTACAGCGAAGCCTTGTCACAGATGCATCTGCCACATTCACACCTCCCATGGTTATTGCAAATACCCTGGGAGGGAAGAGGGGACAATCAGGGACCAAGAGCAACTGCAGATGTGCAGCGCACTGGGGGTCAGCAGGGTGCCAGCTCCCCGTGGCCCTGGGCATCAGGGCAGTTTGCTGCAGCCCTGGCCGCTCTGACTGGCCCCGTGCTGGCAGGGCAGCACCTACCCCTCTACTGTCGATGCAGGTGTCGTTGCTCATGGGGCATTCGCAGCCTGGCCCCTCCCAGCCGCTCTCACACACGCATGCACCCTTGGAGCAGCGGCCACGATCTGCCATGCAAGAGGAGGAATTGCCCAGGGTCAAATCTATGCTGTTCCCCCAGCCCTGCCTGCAGCTCTCCTGCCTTCTTTGGGGTACAAAGGGGATGCAAACAGGCTTCAGTGCACCCTGCAAGCACAGAGTCCCCCACAGCCCATCGCTGGTCACTCAACCCAACCCCTCTGTGCCAGTGCCACCAACCCAGGGACACCCCGCCTATGCTACCAGGACAGAGCAGGACGTGGCACATTGCAGGGCGCTGGGGCTGCTCTCACCGTTGCAGAGGAAGCCGGAGGTGCGCGGGCACTGCAGGACATCGTACTGGCAGAATGCCCCATCGAAGCGCTGCATCAGGTCCTCGGAGTAGCACTGGCACTTCCCACACAGGCACTCGCCCCGGCCCGAGCACGGCTCCACGTCCCCGGGGCGGATGCAGGCTTCATTGTTAGGTGAGGATGCTGGGGAGCAGTCGCATGTGTCCCCTCGCCTGGGGGGAAAGACATCATGCTGAGAGAAGCAGGAGCAGAGCGCAGGACAGCAGGGTCCTGGGCAGGATACCCAGGGCATGGCTGTGTCACTGGGGGTCCCCAGAACCAGCAGGAACCCCGGGAGGGGTATGGAACTGGGCAAAGTCCTTACCAGCCAGGATGGCAGATGCACTGTCCACAAACAAAGTCCCCATGAAAGCTGCACGTGGGCGAGTTAAACTCTTGTTGCTGTGAGAGAAGACAGAACGGACATTGCCGAATGGGCTCAGCTGCCCCACAAGACTATTTCAGGAATTAGAGAGGCAGATTTGGAGCAAAGTTTTGCCCACAAGGCTGAGCTCTGCTATAGGACAACATGCCCAGCTTGGTGTGGTGATGAAGATCTCCTTGGCCAGGTTGAGCCTCTGCTGAGCAATAGTGAGGGGTCAAACAGGACCCACACGTGCCAGCCATGCATTCCCTCCCCAGGCTGCCCAGGAGGAGGGCATCTCCACCACGTACCTGTTCGCAGGGGCACACATCACAGATGACAGAGGCTGTGACTTTGAGGCTGTCACTCAGGGACGTGGGTTTCACTTGGATGACTCCCTGCCGGTCTCTCTCAGGGAGGCTGCAGACGTGCTGCCCACCAACATACTCGAGTGCCTTCACACGCACATTGAACTTGCCCTGAGGAAAGGAACACACCACAGGGGTGAACCAGCTCTGCTGGACCACAGCATAGCCAGACCGACCCCAGGTGAAGAAGGAAGGAGGGATGCAGCTCAGTCGCTCACGCATGCCTTCCCTGCAGGGACATTCAAAAACGTACCACTTCCCCACGGGTGATGTGGAAGGAGCCAGATTCTGTCTTTTCGTACATCAAGGAGGTGAACTCTGTCTTCATGGCTTTGGGGACAAAGTCAGCACGGATATCCATCTTGGTGCGGATGCGCTGGGTGGCAGAAGATAACCACAACAGTGATGTTCAGCAGTACACCTGCAACCACACCATGGCCTGCCCAAGAGGGGCTGCATCCTGCCTGCTTTCCTGGGCAGGACGTGCCCCCCCTTCTGCCTTCCCTGGGAGTGAGAGCAAAGCCCCAGAGAGCACCAGTACCTCAAAGGCTGTGCGGAGCAGCTCCACAATGTTGGAAGAGTCCTCCTGGAGCACCCCGATCTCAGAGATGGGGAAATACTTGTGCAGCTTCTGCAGAGAGACAGGAGCCCCTGAGCCAAGGCCTTGAGAAACCTCCTCTAGCAGTGAAGTGGGCTCTGCTTTGAGGAGGGTTTGGACCAGAGACCTCAAAGATCCTTTCCAACCTAAATTACTCTCTAGCTCTGTGTCCCCACTGCTCTACAAGAAACAGACATCAACATGGGGAGAACTCTAGGACCCCAGATTCCTGCACTCAATAATACACCCTGAGACCTCCCATGACCCAGAGCAGCCCCCTAACACACTGTGACACCCTTTGTAAGTATCAAGTTATTGGTTTAACACTTGGGGACAAGAGATGGGAGAACGCTTTCTCCTCAAAGCTGAGCTGCAGGCAGAAGAGCAATAGCACTGGAGGAAAGATAAGCTCACACGACATCACTGCCACAGTCTTCTCACCTCATAGTAGCTGTAGGAGTGGTTGGTGACAGCGAAGATGGGGATGATGTTGTGTTGGCCTAGCAGGCGCACCAGGGTGGGCACCGAAGGGTAGTCCTGTTTGGTATCATACACGTAGGTGCCATCAGTGTCTAGGTGACAGTGCTCATCATTTCTTGCCAGGATCCCTGCCAGGACGTTGGTCCCATCAGCTTCATAGTGAAAGGCAGATTCAGTGGAGAACACGAGCAGATGGGTGCTGTCCTTCCTCCAGCCAATCTTATCCTACAGCCAGGGGAGAAGGAGAGAAGGAACCTTTATTTCTGTGTCTCCCCAAAGCACTGCACAGCACCAGCAACCACTGGCAGGCCAGCACTGGCAGGAGTTGGAAAACCCAAGGGACAAGGCACCACCTCCACTTGTCAGCTAACACAACCAGCTACGTGGTTCTGGGAATCCAAGTCCAGGTCTCCACTTCCCCATCTGCACCCCCAGTGCGTAGGATGTCTCCCAGCAGCTCTGTGCCAGTAATATACATAGAGTCATAGAATCAGCCAGGTTGGAAAAGACCTTAAAGATCATCAGGTCCAACCATTACCTCAGCACTGCCAAGGCCACCATTAACCCATGGCACTGAGGCCTCATCACCATGGTGAACACTTGCAGGGATGGTGCCTGCAGCCCTGCCCTGGGCAGCCTGTTCCAATGCCTGAGCACCCTCTGGGGCAGGAATTGTTCCTAATATCCAATCTAAACCTCCCCTGGTGCAGGGAGCAAGCCCCTGCTCTTCTGGATGGATTTGGAGCTGTGCTCATCCCCAGCCAAATGGTGAAGCCCAAGCAGGCTGTTTTCTTCGGAGCAGAGTTTCACCACAGGCACAAAGGGGGACAAAGCGAAGAGCACACGCAGGGTGCCCAGCGAGCTGCTGCTGTGCTGGGGATCAGACACTAGAGATACACACACAGATGGTCTAAGACCTAGGAAAAATTTGGAATGCAAAACAACTTGGCACCAGGAACATGTGGCTAGCAGGGCAAGACATACAGCTGTGAACGTACACTTGAACATACAACCTCCCAGGTTCCCAGCTGAACATACAAGCCGGGATCCCTGGCTCTCGTCAGCTGCCCAGCATGCTGCTCTTTGCTCATCACCCAATATCAAGAAGATCCACTGATTAAAACCAGACCCCTGCCCACATGGCTCCTGAATCTTTGGCCACCATCACCTTGCAAACAGCTGTCTGCAGGATGGCATCAAAGCCGCCCTCAGGGGCATCAAGGTTGCCGGAGATGCGCTCTTTCCTGAGCTCTTGGCTGAAGTAGTTGATGTTGCTGGTCAGACGGATAACATTCTTGAATGAGAAGGGGGAATCAGCATTGTTCCAGGGTTCACGGAGCCTAGGAGAGAAGGGGAGAGCAGGGTTTGTGCAGCCAGCAGGAGCAAAGGGATGCTTGGGTGCAAGGAAAGCACGTGTGGGGACTCCTGGAGGCTTGGGAACCCCTCAAGGGAAGACATGAACTTCAGTTGGCAACCATAAGTACTGAGAGGTAGAATGGGTGAGGGCAGAGATGGAGGAGGAGGCATTCAATCTGTTGTGGCAGAGCAGGTCTGAAAGCTGAGGACACTGCTGCCATTGGCATGGTGCTAATGCAAGCCCTGAGCAAAAGGTGGGGAGGCCAGGGGACACATTCGCAATGAAGGGAAGAGATGAGCGGAGGCTCTTGCACCACAGATATATCAAGAAAGCCATGGAGAAACAGATGGTGCCTGCCTTCCCCTCTGCTCCCATCCCAGGGACCCATTGGCCTCACTCACTTCTCAGGTCTCATATCTGTCTGAGGGGATGAGACTTTGTCCACAAACTTGCCAAATCCAATGGTGTAATTGGAGGTCAGGGCTTGCAGGAACTCCGCTGGAAGGAGGAGGGAGAGAGGAGGAGACACGTGAATAAAGAGACGTGTGTGAGGTTCCTGCTCCTGGGCGTCTTCTTTGCTGGTCAGGTCTAGATTCCCAAACTGTCAGCTTCTAAGCCCTTTAGGCTTGTGGCTTGTCTTTTTTGGGGTAGTAACCTATACCACCTTTGGTAGCCCCCTTTCCAAGGCTGGAGCTTCTGCAATAGTGCAAACTACACCTACCAGTTCAGATGCCAAAGCCAGTGCACAGGGCATCAGCAGGGCACAGGCCATCTGCAGGGCACCAGCCCCCATGCTGGGCTGAAAGGAGAGCGCATCATGCATGAGGATCCCTGCATGACCAGGAGAGATAGCCCCCCTCCCCATCTCCAAAGCAGCAATAATAAGAAATTCTAATTGAAACAGGCATTTCTCAGCTTTTTGCCAGTTGCATCCCTTTCTCTGGTGCTAGTAAGAACTCCCCACTGCAGGCAGGAGTGAACTGCCTACCTTCATCAGCACAGAAGCTAGCTCCCCTATTCTTCCAGCTCTGGTCTCACCTAGGTTTTGGCCCATGTTTTTGAGGTTGTCTAGATCATCAGACATAGAGTAGGAGAAGTCCATGAGGATGTAGAGATCCACAGGGCTCTCCAAGGGCTGGAAGACATCCATGCTGAAGCTCATCTCCTCCCCAGCTCGCAGCCGCATGAACATGCCCTGGGGGGACACCTGGGTTCTCTGCAGGGATGTGTTGATACTGAAATTCTGTGGAGAAAGTGATGTGAAGGGGATGGACTCCACTTCCTATGCAGATACAATGAGGATGAGTCAAGGACCAGGGAGATATCTGGGAACTGGAAAGGCAGGGACGTTCACGCTCCCTTCCCTCATGTACAGCTGAGGACCAAAGGCGGCCTCCCCCATGTCCACACGTGCCCAGCTGGGCACCTCCTCTAGACCTTGGCATTTGCTTACATCTGTTTTGCCTGAAAAGCAACGCAGCCCTAAGCAATCAGGTCTGCTGTCAACAGGTTCATCAGCTAACCAAAGCAGAGCACTTTTTGAGTAGACCCTACATGAAGAGAGATCTGGACTTTGTATTCTTCCTGCTGAAGGACTTGAAGGACACTGGGAATGGTGGGACCCCTCAGGAGAAGCTGGGCAAGGGCTGTGTCCCCAGCACCCACCTGCTGGGTCTGCATCTCACCCCTGGTGTACACGATGCTGGCCTCCCTGCAGCCGTACCGCAGCAAGTTCTCCCGCAAGTTGCAACGAGGCTCTTCAAAGCTCTGCCAACGGGGAAAGAACAAGATCACGGCCACTGAAAGCAGCAAATCCCTCGTGCAAGGGGGAAAGGCACTTATCTGGAAACAGGGTCCTCTGCTGGGAGCATTAGTGAATCTCTGGGAGCAGGAGTAAGACAGAGGGATGGGGATGAGTCTAGCACAGAAGAGCCAATGTCCCCCCAGAAACAGGGAAATGTGATGATCAGTGAGTTGCTGGCTTGTCTGAAATAAGACTCTGCCTCTATCCATTGCACACACTGTTTCAGATCTGGCACACCAGCCTTTTCTGCTAAACCCTGCATTACTGCAAGCTTGCCCCAGACTCTCCTTCCTTCCAGTTCTCCATACCAAGGGACACCCATGTTTCAGCACTCCCCATCAGAATCAGCTCTTTGCAGAGAGAAGCAACAGCCAGGAGCTGACCCTGCTCTTGGGTCCCTCTCCCAGCTTCCACTAGAGGTGGTGGGATCCCTCCGTCAGCAGGGTGGGAAGCGGAGCCTTGGGCTCTCCTGCAAGGTCTTACCTCGTCAGTGCAGAAGGAGCAGTCCTTATCAACTCGGATGCACTCAGTGCAGCTCTTCGCCTGGGACAGCACACAGCGGTTATCTACTGGGAGAGATCAGGGCATCAGGAATGCAGAAAACCATGGGAGCGCATGAGGAAGGCTGATCTTGTTCCTGGGTGACTCAGTGGAGTTTTTGCCTGGCTTGCTAGTGGAAACAGGCTACAAAACAGCAGTGAGGTAGTGAGAGGGAAGATAGAAAACAGGAGGAAGAGCACACAACTGGTCTTATGAGGGTGCTGAGGCGCTGGCACAGGGTGCCCAGAGAAGCTGTGGCTGCCCCATCCCTGGCAGTGCTCAAGGCCAGGTTGGACACAGGGGCTTGGAGCAAGCTGCTCCAGTGGAAGGGGTCCCAGCCTGTGGCAGGGGTTGGAGCTGGAGGAGCCAGGGTCACCCAGGCAGTCATACAGCTGCTGCACTCACTTTTGCTTCGTTGGCAGAGGCCAGTGGCACAGAGCAGGGACAGGAGGAGCAGCCCAGCACACATCCGTGGCAGCACATCCATCCTCTTCCTCCTAAAACACATGGATCATTATGTTGTGGAGAGCTAAGATGGAAATGGTCCTGCAGATAAGGGCAGCTCCTGCAGAGCCCTTGCAAGCTGGTGCCTGGAAGCAACCTCTGACCTCATCAGGGCAGGGCATGAAGGCAAAACCAAGAGCGGTTCATCCTATGCTCAGGAATCTGCAAACAGCTCAAAGTCCCTGGCAGTGGGGCAGGGCAGGTGCCACAGCACAGCACCCCTGCGTGCAGAGCCAGGGTGCCTGCATTGATAGGATCAGTGCGGTCAGCTGGAGCCCAGGGCCATCCGCGTGTGGGAGCACCAACCAGGACAAGACCTTGCTTTTTCTGGCAGGTTAAGGGGAAAAAAGAGGAGGAAAAAGTGACTGTCTGTATTCTCCAAAAGCAAAGCAGCCCCCTCCCTTCTGCTATTTCCTATTGCACTAAAGGTTTCCAGGATGCTGGAAACAACAATAAATAGAGGGTGAGGTGTGGAAAATGCCAGGCTTGGAGCTGTTGAACAAATCCATGGTATTGAGAGCCCAGCAGCTACCCTCTCTCCTGTCCAGGGCAGCAGGACCCCCTGTGTGGATCCAAAGGCCAAATCGTAAACAGTGAAGCATTTCCCTGTACCCACATGTGACTTTGAAAGCTCAGTGCCATCCAGGAGTCAGCATTCGGACATGGTATACAAAAGAGACAAAGATGGAACTTGAGCTGTGCAGCTACTGTGCCAGACAGTGACTTTGGTACCTTGGCAGGGCACAGGAGCAGTCAAGGCACAAAATGCAGCGTAAAGAAATCTCTAAAGCACCTCCTTTCTGGAAGATGCAAGTGTGAAATATAAGATTCAAAGTAATTGTCTTATAGCTTCTTGCTGTGTAAGCCCTGAATAAATAAGTGAAGGAAATGTGAAAACCACTTAAAACAGGGAAGGAAAAAGGGGATATGATGTGCAGTAAAGATGTCTGAGTTCCCAGGCAGACATCAGCACACAGTGCAGTCACTTGGTGACTCAGCTACTACCAGCCTGACCTGGGGCCCAGGGAAACCCCTGCTGTAGTCACAAGAGCTCTGGGTCATGCTAGGCCTTTGGATACCTCATCAGCCACTGAGGCCAGTGGAAATGCATAGAATGCAGGAAACTGAGCACATGCAGAGTTCGTTATGGCACAGAGGTGCAATCAACATAGCATTGACACCAGGGGACATCTCTCTCATTAAGATGTTTGAGGGAGCAAGAGGAGACCAGCAGGAAATGCTGGAGCGATGGTCTGGGATGGGGTAGGAAGTCTGTACGCAGCCATTGGCTCAGTTCCCTTTGCTCCATGATGGTCACTGGAGATGTGGGTAATAGATGGCAGGATGCTGTTATACCATTTATGTTTCCAGCTGTGCCAGAGGGATTTCTCACAGTAATTAATGCCCTGTCCCTGAAACGTGAGAAATGTGGAAAGCTCAAGTCAGCAATCTGTGGGGAAACCTGGGGCAGCTTTGCTGTTCCTTGGGACCTGGTAGCCAATACGCTGGTTTTCTTATGGGTAAAAGGTAGCCGATGTCAAGGAAATCCCTCTGCTTCCCTCCTGCAGCCCTGGAGTTAAGCTCCCTGCAATGCCAACTGTCCCCAGCACAGGCTCTTTGCAGGCTTGGCTTTGGGTGGTCCCTGTGACCGGCTCCAAGGCTAACAATTATCATCATCCCTGTACATGCCTGTAACCTCGTTCAACAACAGCCCTCATGCCACCACTTGCTGGCAAACACTGGGTCCTTTGCCACCAAGACGGGAGGATGGGGATGTTTTGAAGCCATTCTGGGGATTTTGAAATCCCCTTTTCCCTTTCTCCACCCCAGTAAGCCCTGCCAGCTGCAGTAACCAACACCTCAGAGCCATGGGGAGGCAAAATCAGAGATGAGATAAAAGTAGAGGGAAGTGTTTTGACCCCACCAAGGGAAAAACACAGTGAGACATCCCCATGGCACTCGGCAAATCCCATCTCCCAACACGGGCAAAGGCCACAAAGAGAGAACTGAGTATAGGGGAAGAGACTGCTCAGCCCATATAGCCACCTTCAAAGGTGGCCTCAAAGCAAAGACCTAATTCATCCTCCTTTAACCACGAGTCAAGAAAGGGTCACCAGGGGATGCATGGGCACACCCTCGGCCTCGGACACAGGAGCTGCTCTCACGTCTTCTCAAGTGCTGAGATAAAAGGCCATAAACCTCAGCTTGATGTTAAGGTCCCGCTGCCCTGCCGAGCCCCAAGGGTTGAGCTGGGTGGCTGCCGGTGGGCAGGGCACTGGTGGCACAGCGAGCATTGCCGCTGCCACGCAGCGCTGCAGGAACGCAGCCCATAGCGTCTGTGCAGAAGCCTGCAAGGGGCGTTCCTTGGTTTCAGAAGTGTCCTCTGGAAGAGGAAACACCACTTTCACTGCTGAAAAGCTGCAGCGTTCGATTGGGGTTTCGTGTTGACAACGACAACAACAAAAGCTGTCCAGTGTGCAAAGCCAGGAAAACCAGTAGAGCAGCTCATGGCTGCACACAGACACCCTACCCTGTCCCAGACCACCACTCCAGCATCTTCTCCTGGTCTCCTCCTGCTCCCCCAACCTCAGCACAGTCAACGGACCTGCTCCAGAAAGACCCCAGGAACTCCTGAGCCTGGAGAAGCCCACACTGGGCACCTCATCCCCCAAACCATGGGGTGCTTCAGATAAACTACTGGAGCAACGAGATGGAGGGCTGGGTTGGAGTGTCCCATCCTCACCCCTTCCCACTGCTGGGAAGGACAAGGCTGAAGCTGGGCATCACCCTGGGGTGGACTGGGGAGAGGAACCAAATAAGAGGTTATGATGAGTCACGAGGTCATGGTAGGAGCCTCGTCCCAGCTGCCATGGGGGGGACACCTGGCAGGTTGGGGATGTGGGAGTAGGAAAGCAAGGAAAATGAAAAAGAAAAAGCTCTCAGAGCAGCCTTTCCTCCCTCTGGTGGGCATTGCCTTTTTTATGGCTTCAGACCCTCCATGCTTCCCTGCGGCGCTTTGGGGTTGCATATGGGACTGACAGCCTGGTAGATGGGAGGCATCTGTAGGAGCATCTGTTCACCCGTGTGTTGTGCTTGAGCATCACGGGACACAGACCAGGACCACAGCTCGTTTCCTCCCTTCCCAGGCTGCTCCCTCCCCAGCACATGCAGCGGCACGGAACTGCCAGGGGCTGTGCTCTGGAACTTGAAAGCGCTCAGATGCCTAGGCAGCTATCAAAAACCTGACTCCCAAATCAAAGCATTGCTGAAACACAGACTCACATTTGTCTGTGATTTTCCCCCCTCATCCATTCCCCCCCCTTCCCCAGGTGGGCCTCAGCAGCTGGGAGGTTCCATGCAAGTGTCACCGTTTGCTGGTTCCAGCAAGAAAGGGATCTCAGCCCTTTGGTCAATCTCCAGACTTCAGAAAGCCCCTGGCATCCTCCAGCAAGGGACCAAACAGCAGGGCCCAGCCTGGGGACCCACACGGAGCTGCTGGGAGCCAGGGAGCAGCTGACAGCACCCTGTGCCAGCTGCGGTACCGTGTCCTATCTCTGCCCCCTGGTTCGGGCAGGGGGAGCCCTGAGAGGCTGGCAGCAAGTCCAGGACTCTGCCTATGGGTCCTGCCTGCATGCCAGCACAGCCCTGGGGCCCTCCTGTCCCCCACCTGCTGCTCCCAGCACATTCTCTGCTGCTTTGACCCCAACAAGATGCTTTTCCTCTCCCTCACTTCCATGGGTGCCTCTCATGCATCTTTTCCCCCACCTAACCTGTGCTGGTCTGCTCCCTCACACCAACCTTTCCATACATTTCCCTATCTCCCATCCCCTTTAGATCCACCAGCCCACGTATACCCTATCCCCTTGTGGCCTTTTCCTCCAGGGTCACCGTCTACCCTTGCTCCCCCTCACAAAGGTTCTACAAATGAACCTCTGTAGATTCAGCAGGTCGGAGCCACCTTTGCACAGTTCCACTTACGAAAGCTTTCGCTGGGTGCCAGCTCCAATGTTGCCTTTCCCCTGGGGAGCAGGACAGACTGAGACAGCAACCTTTGAAACCTGCAACAAAGGCTCCCCAAAGGGCTCTGCTCTGCCTTACCGCACTATGGTACCCCCACCCTCTGCTCCACACCCCCCCCCCCCAAAAGCCTGCAGAGGCAGCCTCTGCCCATGCAGCCCTGCAAAGCCTGGCTCAGTCTCCAGCACTGCCCTTCCAGCTGCCTGAGGGGCACAGGACAGCATCCGACAGCCAAACCCAGGGAACAAGCCAGCAGGGAGCTGAGCCCCTCACTCCATGCCCTGCCTACCTGCCCATGCAAGGAGCCTCCAGTGCCTCATTTCATCCCTCGGTTAGCCAACACAGTGAAATTCAAGCAAGCTGGACACTAAAGAGCATGGATGAATTAATTCCACAAACCTCATTAGCGCTAAGTCTGACTCAGTGTCCAAATCCTCTGCTGCAGCCCGAAAAACAGGCACCCACACACCAAGCCAAGAAATTCCTCTGAAGGCAGAGGGGGAACGTGCTGCTTTGCTGCTGCAACTCGATTTCCAGTCTTGGCCTCTTCTTTATTCTTTTTTTCTTTCCCCTTCGCTCGTCTTTGTTTTCTGTCCCCTTTCTTTCCCCGGTTAAATGTCAGCCTCCAGGCCGGCCGGGAGGGCAGGCACACCTCGATCCCGCCTGCCTCCCGCTGCCTCCCGCACCCGCCAGTCCAATATCGACTCTGTTCTTGCTCCTCTCGCCTCCAGAGCTGCCGCTTCTCCCTCCCGCGGGCTGGCGGGGAGGAAAGGTGGGAGCAGCAGCAGTGAGATCAGACCGCAGGTGAGGACGAGCTTTATCCCAGCCGGGGAGGAAAGGGGTGCCCGTGACTCAGGGCTTGGCATTCCTCCCTCACACACCTGGACGGGCAGGCGCAGCCGCCCGGACCCTCCCTCTGCACAAGCACCATCCCACAGGAAAAGGGCTGAGCGGGACAGGGCTGTGGGGTACGGGCAGCGCCAGCCGCTTGCCTTTGCCTGGCTGCGGGAGCTTTCTCCTCCACAGGCAGGAGCGGGGCCGTTCCCGCAGCACACAGGGAGCTCACAGCTGGAACACCGGGTAAATTCCTGCCACGACACCCACCTGAGCGCAGCCTCTGCACCGTGCCTGCAGAGAAGACAGATCCACATCTGGCTTTACCCAGGGCACAAGCACAACGGTCCACCCCACATCTGCTTGTGGGTCAATGCAACCCCTTCTAGCACCCTGAGACCCACCCACAGCTGCCCCTAATGCATCCTACCATGGCCCAAGGAGCAGCAATCCCACAACTGCACCCAGCCCTTCTGCTGGGCTGGATCCCAAACTCCTTCCCCAGCCAAAGAGCAGCAGGGTTCAGAAGTTCCTGTGGTGCAGAGGGTACACATACCTGGTAGATGCAGTAGCAGAGGCTGTGTTTTAGCTTCCTGATAAACCCTCACAAGCAAAAACTGCATTCCCTGCACTTCAACACAGACAACAGCAACAGCCAGATGAAAAGCTCACATATTTCCTGCCTGCGCTGGAGGTTCAAAATATAAGCAGGGCAATTTTTGCCTCTGTTATCAGTGTAGCACCACAGAGGCTGCTGAGCAACTTCATGGTGGCGGTGCCCAAGCACTGATTGCAATGAAAGTGAGTAGCAAGATTCCTTTCACTACAAGAAATATGAAGCTCAAATAAATATGTGTAAACTGATTAAGCCCGAGGGAAAAGGAAGATGTGCTTGTGCCATTCAAAACTGCAGCAAACGGGAAACAGGTCGGGGCACAACTGAGGATGGCTCAGGCAGCATAACTCCGGTGTTTCACGGTTTCTGAACACTTGACTTCACACCCTCAACATGATCCTGGCCCTTTTAGAGATGCAATTTTTTATCTTTAAACAAAAATTGTGAAAATTAAGGGGGTTTGTTGCCAGGTTTTGTAAAACCCCAACAGACATTTCCTGCAATGTGAGAGCTGGGACATGAGGCTGCAATACTAAAGCTGCAGCAGTGGCAGCTGGAAAAGAGCAGATTGGTACTGGTGAGGGGCTGAAGGCAGAGGGTCCACCCTCGGGAGCACGGCAGGTCAGGGATGTGAGCAGACAGACCACACAACTGTGCCTGCTCACCTCCCCTGCTCCACCAGGAGCTCACGTCAGCCCCAGCCTGTTACCACCATGGCTCTCCTCTGCTGCCACTGGGGCAATGCTGCTGTACACTAGAGTTAAAAAAAGCCAATTTAGGTTACAAGCAAGAACCGTATTACTAAAACACAAACAAACAAAACCCACAAAAAAAACCCAAACAAAAACAAAAAACAACCATCAGGAACCCTGGAGCCAACCAGAAAAGCATGGGAGCAGCTACCTTCCACCATGGTATTCGGTGACCTTGGTTTCTGGCTGCTCTCCTTTCTCCACCTGAGATGGAAGATGTCTTATCTGCTCTAAGGTATCTCTGGTGTCACCTACAGACACTCTGACTGCCCCATGGCTGCCTGACACCATCTCTCTCCCCTTCCTCCCTGCAGCAGCAGGGCAGGACCAGCTCCACTCAGCATCTCCAGCTGTAACAAGCAGCCTGGTTACTCACCACAGGTGCTGCCAGAAGAGCCCAAGATACTCATTTTGCATCCTTCTTAGAGACACTTTTCCCCAGCCTCTCAGAGAGCTCTGAGAACAGAGCATGAATTTCCAGAGACCTGTGGCTGACCTGTATGCAAGCAGGCATTTGCAGGGCTGATAAAAGGCACTTTTCTGGTATGAAGACAGCACTACCACCAATCTTTAAGGCAACAAAGCAGAGAGGATTTAGAAATTATCAGTAAGTGGTCATAAGAATGTAACAGGTTTCACTTCATAGAATCCCAGCCTGGTTTGTGTTGGAAGGGACCTTAAAGCTCCTCCAGCTCCAACCCCTGCCAAGGGCAGGGACCCCTTCCACTGGAGCAGCTTGCTCCAAGCCCCTGTGTCCAACCTGGCCTTGAACACTGCCAGGGATGGGGCAGCCACAGCTTCTCTGGGCACCCTGTGCCAGCGCCTCAGCACCCTCACAGGGAAGAGCTTCTGCCTAAGAGCTCAGCTCAGTCTCCCCTCGGGCAGGTTCAAGCCATTCCCCTTGGCCTGTCCCTCCATCCCTTGTCCCAAGCCCCTCTCCAGGTTTCCTGCAGCCCCTTTAGGCACTGGAGCTGCTCTCAGGTCTCCCCTTCAGGAGCCTTCTCTTCTCCAGGCTGCCCCAGCCCAGCTCTTTAAGAACAAATTCTAAACACTGTTGTTTTATGAGTTGCCTTTCAGGGAACTTCTCCCAAGTGTTTCCACTGTGGAAGAAGAATGCTTGAAACGCTCAAGTTTTTGTGTTGGTTCCATACCTTGCACTTGCTGTCTGCTGGACCATAAACTTGTGCTTTTAAACAGAGGATAGGCTCTGCAGAGAGGAAGCAGCAGCAGATTTTGCTGCAGATGGCACAACTAAAGCTCACAGCCGCTGATGGGGGGGACGTCACACCTATAAATCAGTGATCTGCTGATCTAGAGATGTTCCACCTGGGAGTGAGAAGAAGTTGCTCTACCCCTCACAGTAAATTACTGTGTTCCCTGCTGAGGCTCCCAGTCTGAGTGGCAATTACTGGTAATTACAAGTGATTTTAGGGTTAATTCTTTTTTTTAAATGCCACACCAACTTGTACAGAACCTTCCTTCTTTCTCTCCTGCCACTGCAGTTTGCATGGAGGCAGCTCTGGGGCTTCTAGGTCTGTATTGAGCAGTTAGAGCCAAGATCCCAGTGCTGGAGCCTGTTCATCCCCTTTCTGAACTCTGTAACAAGACGCACTGCTAAAAGAAATACTCAATCCCATAGCTGCACTGTACAGTGTAGTGGCAATATCCTGCTACCTGGCATAAATTTAAGGAGTGTTTAACAATATACTATTAGTGTACATTAATGTGCACATAATTTATTGCACTAAGTTGTGCTTAATATCATTACCCAAGTAATTAAAAGTGCAGGATGAAATCTGCTTCCATGTTCTCTTCCTCAGCCTTTTGCCAAAGACAGCATTAACTATATGTCTGTTTTGCAGTGGATGTTCCTGTCAGGAGCACACTCCTAAAGGAAAATCTCTTTGCTGAACATCACTGATCCCTATTTTGCTCTGGGATGGGCCAGCAGCAAGAGGTAAGCTACTGCAGGGTTACTTTAGTGGCTTACCCAGCTGTCAGAAGGCTGGAAGCACACTGGTGTTATGTCTGAAGGATTTCAGCAGACAGCCCACCTTTCCTCCCAGTTTGTATTGGCCCCATTCAATAATGTGGGTGAGGGTCTCCTGAGGAGCCTACAAACACAAACAGGGAGAGGAGTTGGGCTCTCACCTTCATCATGCTCTCCAACCACTGCAAGTGGCTACACAAAGCTAAGAGAGGTTAAAAGTCCCAGTAACTTCACCTTTTATCACTGCACCAAAAGGCAGGCTCCTTTTCTCCCTACAAAGAAGGAAGAACAAGCTTGGTAGAGGACGGACAGCCAGTCAGACGCCTTCCATGTGAAAAGGCAAAACCTTTTCTTGTGAAATCCTGGTATTCTGCTGTTTATTGGCAAGAGAGAGCAGGAGGCCAGCCCCAGCCAAAGACAAGTTCCAAGTAAACAAAGACTAAATGTTGGAAGTCATCATGTCCACGGTTCTTGCTTAGAACAAAAGGAAGGAAGTGGAATATAAACAGAGGAACAGCGGCACTGGCAAGGCCTGAGATGGAAAACGGCTCTGTAGGAGTCATGCATGCCTGTGCTGGTGTAAACATTCCCCAGAAGGAAGAGATCTCACACCTCAATAGCAACTTATTTAACATCAGGCAGTCTTGGAGAGCCCTACTGCACAGCATCTCTTTCTCTGGAGGTAATGCCTCTGGGCTGTCCTGGTTCACGCTGTTCAACAGGAGTGAGCAGCCTCTGCCCTTGGGTCGATTTCTGGGCACATCACAAGGACCATCTGTTTGAGGGGCTTCGCAGGAGCTGCAACTTCTTGTCCCCTGCAATGCCCAAGAGCTGGAAGGGAGCTTGTGCCAGTGTCAGCAAACCAGATGTCACTGAAACCATCACCTCCACCTGCGGGAGCCCACTGTGCCCTCCGCAAAGCCTCGGTACGACCCAAAGCCTGGGCAAGGAAGACTTCTTCTGTTTCATTTTTTGTAGTCTTGAGTAAATAACTCCCATAGAACAGTACAGCAGCAGTCCAAGTAAAACATAGCTTGAGGTGCTCCCATTTTATGGTTTGAGGTGCGGCTGGCAAGGGCTGCCCTTCCCCACCCACTCTTTCGGGGAGACAGCAACAGCTAGACATAAAATAAAAGCAAGTCCTGAACATACAAAATCCCTTCTCACCACAGCATCAAAGGAGGGCAGATCTCCAAATCACAACGGGAAAGGAAAGCAACACCTCAGGGCGTGGAGGTGGGAGAAGACTTCAGAAGGTAGAGTGAGAGCAGGACCAGCCCTGCCAGAGGTGATTTCATTATGGAAGCTCTCCTCCGTGTGCTGTGCAGCCTGGCCTGGCGCAGGCACACATCAAATGTGGAGTTTCAGCTAAGAGAAACCTGCGCAGGCCAGGAGACACCCATGCTTAAAGGCAGTAAGCAGAGAGAAGCCCCATGACTCCAAGGAGCATGAGTCTGTAACTCTCAGGCAAAGAAATAATGAAAATAGGACTGGTTTTACCCTCCTGGGTACAGTGTCCCCGTGGGAGGAGAGGCAAGAATGAACATCTACAGCACTGCTACAGGCACAGCACTTCAACACCCGGCAGCTGCCACATAGCCCTGGCACGATCCCAGCCATGCAGATTCCCAACAAGCCAACCAGCCAAACCTCCCCTTGGAGGTTTCATGAGCAGGAAAGGATCCTTCTTCCCTCAGGACATTCTTGCACACCTAAAGCTCCCTCCATGTGTCTCTGTTGTGCTGACTGATTGCAGCCAAGTGCAATCACCTTCTTGGAGATAGGAAAGAGCCTTTTTGCTAGAACTGGAGTTTCCAACCTGTGTATCCATCTATTACTTCCGAAAGGAACACACAAGATAAACAAGAGCAGCAAGCTATTGTACTGGCTGCAAGTCTGTTACATAATGGTTGGTGTCTCCACTCCAGCTTCTTGAAAGGGAGTGAAAAACCCCAACCAACCCATCACACACGTTTCAAGTTGCCCTCTGCACTGTGGGTAGCGAACACTCTCCTGTGAGAGCTCAGGGGCTGGCTGCCAAAGTGTGGCATCACTCAGCCCGCCCTCATGCAGAAGCCCGTTACTGCTGCTCCAGGTGCCTCACGGCCATCTCTGCTCAGCACGCTTCAGCAGAGCTGGGTTAGGGATCTTTCTCCTTATTCTTCTATGTACCATAGAATCACAGAATGGCTTGTGTTTAAGGGACCTTAAAGCTCACCCACAACCATGGTCTAAGAATTAAAGTCCACTGAAATAATCTGGTGTGATCACTGCAAAGAAGAAAAAAAGGCCAGGTGAGCAGCTGGCTCTCTGCACATACGGAACCAGTCAAGTTACTCCTCCCCTCACCTACCTCAAAACAAGGAACAGTCCCCTTCACCCCTGCCTGTTGAGCTCCTTTTCAGGAGGTGGGCCTCTAAAGGTGATGGTTTTATGGAAGGCCCAGGTGCGAGTGCTAGTTTGTTCAACATGCAGAAATAGGGGAGCAGGGGGGAAGAACCAAACGAGGCAGTAAGAACAGCTGAATTTCCAACTATCGCAGAACACCACCTACAACAAAAGTATCTCATTCAGGATCAGTTTAATGTCCTTCCCCGCCTCTCCCCACCAGAGTCCAAGGTTTAGAAAAAGACTGATGATGTGAAGCAGCCTTCGTGCCATCCCCACTCCCATGGAGTTATCACACACTCACCTGTAGCCCAGAGCACAACAAAATCTGTGGCTGCCCCATCCCTGGCAGTGCTCAAGGCCAGGCTGGACAGAGCTTGGAGCAAGCTGCTCTAGTGGAAAGCATCCCACCAAGATGGGAAATGTAGACACCTCAATGACACCAGGTTTGGTTGTGTGTGGGGTTTGGTTTTTTTTTGTTAATTTGTTTTTTAAGACTTCCATTTTTAGAATATTTTTTTTTGCCACATAGGTAAGATTTATACAATAACATTTTCAACTGAAAATACTTCTTTCACAAGAGTGGAGCAAGCAGTAACTGCCATGTGTGCATTTCACAGTACATCACTGTCTAGCATAAAGATGGACAATACCACAAGTAAGATCACTCTCCTCTTATTCACTGACCAATCTCATTCTGTAGCAATGGAAGTGTTATCGAACCTCTGCAGCTTACTGGTTCTACATAGAAATCTCCATCCCTGCAAGACTGCCACAGGACTATTTCAGCACAGTTTCCTCAACATTTACTATTTAACATGTGGCACCACGATCTACACAGACGCACACACAGGTACAGATGACAGTACTGTAATAATCTACATTCACGGATGTAGATCTCTTCAAGTCTCTGCTACACAGTTGAAGATGGACACTGACCAATCGTCTTTGCTTTAATTCCCTTGGAACTGAGTTAGCACAGTTTGCTTTGTGCCCCTTCTCCCTCCCTGCCCCCCCTTCCCCATAAACCAGACTTACAAGTAGGGCAAGGCCCTAACACAGCAGTTT